ACATATTTATTCAACCCAAACCAGTTGGAGTATTCATATACCCAACACCCTGGCTGCTGTTTCTATACGTGTTCTATATTTGTTTTTCTATTTTTCAACTTTCCTTTTAAAATTTTCTTGTAATGGGTTTAGATCCCAGATTATTAATTTGAGATAGGTAACCATGCATAATGAAATAATAAACAAGCAAATACATACATACAGATAGTCTTTTACTTACAAGAGTTTGCTTAGTGATCATTCAAAGTTACAATGTCACTGAGAAAATGACTTATGACTGCTTTTTCATACTTGTGACCATCGGATCATCCCCATGGTTATGTATTTAAAAAATCAGAGGCTCATATTTACGATGGTTGCATGTCATATAATCACCTTTTGCGACCTTCTGACAAACAGAGTCAATGGGGAAATCCAGATCCACTTAACTGTGTTACTAACTTAACATCTGCAGTGATTCACTTAACAACTGTGGCAAGAAAGGTCCCACAGGGTTTCAAACATAATTTTACAAATTTTTCGAATGTGATATACAGACACTACTCACCGTTCCCACCAGTGGATAAATAAATCCAGCTCCAATACTAGCTCTCACGTCGCTGATAGGCAGAACAAACCCAGTGGGAACACCTTTCTTCTCAGGCATGTGGGAAAGGGACAGGTGGGTTTTTGCCATACAAATAGGTAAATTTCCAAATCCCTGCCAAAAAAAGAAACAAGAAAGAGATACAATGTATCTATACCGCACTGAAATAATAACAAGTTTCCTTTCCAAGGTTTTGCATGCTGTACAATAAAAAAAGCTAAATTTTATTACCAGTACATTGGTGACTTCTAGGAATAAGTCTTTGGCTCAAGCTTCAATAGATTGTGGCAAGAGGTTATAAGTATACATCTTAATTAATAATAATTTCTTTAATGCTTTTCTCAAAGCCCAGTACAGATCACAAAGAGAGCAATTGCAACATCTTATCCAATAACTCAACAATTTTCAGCTCAATAGTCAAACCAATAAACAATACCTTAACTATTGAGACAAACCAAACACAACTGCATATGCTTAAAATGATACCCTGTGATAGGACTGAGCTTATATACATCCATAATTAAAAGGGATTAATCTAGGAATTGCTAAGATTAATTAGAGTAAAATAAGATAACAAGTCCTTCCATTCACCCAGCAACTAAATAAAAAGATATTTAAATCATTTTTAAAGTTTTTGAATTTTCATAGGGATGAAGGGAATTAGGCAGCTAAGACTATAGTCTCAAGGCCTGGAGTCTTGAACTCTGGAGTGAGGGGCAAAAACAGAGGACTTTCTAGGTAGTGTAACAAATAGAACTGCAGGAAGTACTCAGGACATCAGGAAGACCGTGGTTTTAGAGACCAGAGTGCCCTAAACATAAGCATCAACCATAAGGTCTGGTTCAAATAGAGAGCCAGGACAGAGCCTTGAGTAATTATGAGATATGAAAATGGCATAGAAGGTCCAATGCACTTTTCTAGTCATTTAACCAGGAGCCTTTCTTTTCTCAGGGCTATGCAAATCCATGATTGTGGGGGCAGGACAGCATTCTGATTCAAAAAGACCTTGGTGATAGTAATAAACAAGTCACTGAAAGGGCCAGCAGTAGTAGGCCATATAGGATGGGAAAAGGCAAGAAAAGTTGAAGGCAGGTAGCATCCAGGTCATAGTTATATCCCACAGGTTTAGTTGCATTTTGAAAAACACCTTTGGGTTTAAAGGCAGTTATAGAAAGATTGGGTCCTGGCCCAAAGCAGCATTATATTCTGGGCAGGTTTTATCCAGTATTTTAAACAGATACTGGTATATTTTAAAATAGGAACAGCACTCACAATCAGTGGTGGTATTCTACCGGTTTGTCTTGGTTCTGCCGAGCCGGTAGCAGCAATAAGCAGCGGAGACCAAACCGATTCTCTCCGTTGCTCTGCTGTTGGGCCCGCCCACCCGGACTCCTATACTCACCTTTAACCTCTGCTTTTGAAGCGCAGCTGCTGAAGCAACCAGGAGAGTGCAGACTTGCAGGAGGTGAGTTTGGACACCTCTGCACCTGCACAAATGCCTCCGTACCTGCGCAAAGTGTGTGTTTGGTGTGCACGCGCGAAAAGCGCACCCACCAAGCCATGCCCACCGAACCGATGGTAAAAGTTTTTGAATCCCACCACTGCTCACAATATATCTGTTTGCATATATTCTTGTTTTTACCTGTTGGGTGTAACAATTTATTTGAGACTGTGCTGCAGGAGACAGCTCTATATCCTGAGCTCCATAGATCTTCTGAGCTATGATTCTTATTTTTTCAACTATGGGAAGCTGCGAAAACAAAACAGGATGACAGAACGTTAATTTGAAGAGTCCCAAGATACTTTCCTTTATATCAGGATTGCCTAGTTCTCACTGGCAGTGAATTTATTACAAATTTATACTAAACATTCAGTTATACATTGTTTCATTAAAAAAAAAACATACATGTAAAAGATAGCCTCTGTTGCCTTCCATTCAGAAATCATCATTAACCTTCTCTTTTCTACAATGCAGACAGAGAAAAAACAAGTTTATGTATATCAACTTCCTGTAATCATGCATTCTGAAGTGTACAGATAGTCCTTGACTTACAACAGTTCATTTAGTGACCATTTGAACTTACAACGGCACTGAAAAAAGTGACTTATGAGCATTTTTCACACTTACAACCATTGTAGCATCCCCATGAACATGTGATTTACATTCAGATACTTGACATCTGGTTCATATTTATGACGCTTGCAGTGTTCCGGGGTCAGGTGACTCCCTTTTGCGACCGTCTGACAAGCAAAATCAATGGGGAAGCCAGATTCATCTAACGATCGTGTTTCTAATTTAATTATTGCAATGATTCACTTAACAAATGTGGCAAGAAAAGTTGTAAAGTGGGATTAAAAACTGTTCTCAGTTAGCAACAGAAATTCTGGGCTCAATTGTGGTCATAAGGTGAGGACCACCTGTATTTCAGAGTTTTGTTTTGCTTAGGCAAAAATATATTGCAGTCACTCACCCAAAACTTAGTTCTGGTTAAACCAGACTGTACATATATTGTACGCTCATAACTGGAAAAGGCCACTCTTGTTTTTTTTCTATATGCTCAGTGAATTGTTCTCTCATAAACAATTCACAAAGACAAGTCCAAGTTCCATATCTGGCAGGTACCAACTGTGGGATCATCACAAGATGTACAGATGGCCTGAGTTGTAAGATTCTTCTTAAGCTCCAAGTGGAACATATCTATACAACACCCAAAGATGTGCAGTTTTAAAGCACGTAGATGCCCTTGGAAAAGTCTTGCTGAAGTAAACCAGGCCTGGAAAATTTATCACAAGCTCAGCATAAGCTTCTATTATTGAAACGACTCTAGGAAACCTCTAATGGATTACCTCAGAAACAGCTCTCAGCTTTTTTTCCCCTTTGCCATAGCAGTCAAAAATATGTTCTTTACTAAATGATCAATATACTGTTCAATTGCCAGGATATGTAAAGAAGCATAAGGCTAGGCTGAGCCTTGATTTTAAAAGGGTCTGCTCTGCACATCCTGTTCCCTCTGTAGATAGTCCTGCCCCAATCTAAGTCCTAGATTTTTCTGCCTAGACTGGATTGCAACAATTGAAATTCAGTAAGTATGAGGTAATGTTATCTTATCTTTTTTATAATGGAATCGTGTATAAAGTTACACTGCTAATTTTTGCACTAATCATGCTGGAGCCTGGAAAGATGTGGAAGAACAATGAAAATATATTTTTAAAAAGGACAGAATGAATGACCGAAAGATTCTTGCCTGTCCCATCTGTACAGCAGAATTAACACATTCAGCACACACACACAATTAACCACAACTACTGCCGCAACATTTCCTTCTATGATTAAGAAACACCCATCCCAAATGCCTGGAGCAGAGAGCATTTTGCCACCGGATGCCTTTGAAATCAATAGTGCATTCATTGATTGAGTGGTGCTGGGCTTTTGGTGCCCTAGCTTTGTGCTATCTCTACAGCAAAAAATTGCCATGGAAATGTAGTGATTCACTGCTTTGGTACCAAATGACAAAGCTCAACCTCATCCTTCAGTTCTGGAAAGAGTCTTATTATCACACTTTTTATTTAAAAAAAACAAGGTAGGAGGAAGGTAACCTTAGACCTCACATTAAATCCAAGACACATTTATCACTCTGTGACAATACTGAATGTTTTGGACCTTCTCTGTTCGTTTCTTTTATCCATTAACACTATGTTCATGATTGTATTTTCATTGGGTAGCCTTGTACCCCCGGCCTACAATTCTCAATAGCATGGTTGGTGCTTCAGTACATGTGCTATATTTTAAGCCTCAAACTCTGAGATGGATGTTTGCATAGAAACGCCAATCTAATTTCCAGAAATTTTTGATGGCTGGATACTACAGTATTCCAAGTCTTCTATGTATTAGAGGTAGTAATTATGGAAGTTGAAATTGGGCTGGGTTCCTTTGCTCTACTTAATGTCTCTCTCTTTTTTTTCAAATCATATTTTTTATTCCAATATAGTTGTGTTTAATGTAGGATTTTTTTTCTCCATTGCTTATTTATTTAGAACATTTATATGGCCACCCACCTTAAGCAAATAACTTGGGGCAACCAACAGCACAAAAAGTAATATAAATGATTAGTTTCTCTTTTATTTTAAAAATACTCAAAAAAGCTCTTTTCAGTGATGATACTGCTTTTTACTTTGTTCAAAGAGTTTCCAAAGAATTAGAAGAGTTGCAATGGTGTGGCTCAGTGAAAGTTCACTTCCAGGACTACTCTGTTTTCTCTCTGGTTGTTCCCAGATAACATAGAACATGGTTGTGGGGCTTGTGATAATTCAAGGAATTCCCAAAAGCTATCCAGATTTCTATAAGCCAGATCAAAGAGAATTGACATTTTGAATTTTAAGCAGTCTCAAAAGGTCATACTAACATTTTTAGCAGAAAGCTGCTCACTGGTGGCTTGTTATATCAAATTCCAGTTCAGACGGGACTTTCAAAATAAACTGTATAAGTCTTCCAGGATAATATTTTTTTTTTGTAAATTTTATTTGAGTTTTCACAAAAAGAAAAAAAATACAAATAAAACATCTTTTTTGAAAGTAGCGTAATCCCGGGTTACATTTCTTCGTACAGACACAAATTCAGGTTCATGCTCATTTTTATATTCTATTCCATATCTTATTACTATTTTACATTTTCGATATAGCTTTTCCCCTCTTTTAATTTTCTCAATTTTATTTTAATTATCTCATCTCAATTCAAATCATTGTATTTATATTTTTTGTCTGTCCTGTTTCAATTATCTATTATCTTTTCTCATTAAACAAAATTTCTCCTGTAGTTACTGATTGGAGTATGACGCCTTTATATCTTTTCCCTAAAGTTGTAACATTCAATATAATACATAACTTCCATTCAGATTCTGCTTGGTACATTCTTAGCATGTAGTGTATTTATGATGGTTGCAGTGTTCCAGGGTCATGTAATCACCTTTTGAGACCTTCTGACAACCAAAGTGAATAAGGAAGCCAGATTTTGATCAAACTTAACTGCAGTGATTCATTTAATAACTGTGGCAGTTATTAAAAGGCTGTAAAATGGGACAAAACTTACTTAACTGTCTTGCTTAGCAACAAACATTTTGGAACTTAGTTGCGGTCATAAGCCGAGGACTATCTGTATATAGAAAAACAACAGTGACACAACTAAAGAGAACCAAACATTTTTGTTCCTCAGATGGGAATAAATGCAAAATATTTTGTGTCCATTGTAACAATTGCAATGAGACAAAAGTAACTTGTTTTAGTTTAATTTCTAAACAGCTAAATAAAAATCACAAGCTACAGGATATCAGAAACATGGACTAATTCATTCAAAACCAATGCTACTGAAACATATGACCTTATAATTGGAGTCAGACTGCTCTGGTTAAAACCAATCTTCTAATTTTCATCCACATGAACATTAAGGACAGCTCCCAATTCTCCTTCATGTTTGTTTACAGAGACAACATGGACAATAGCTATTACTTTTTATATAAAGTTCTAGACTGTCAAAATCAATCCTAGTTAGCATAATAGATATATTTCTTAAGGGATTTATTTTGAGACTGCTCAATTATATTTAATATTTTTTATCCAGTACAAAAGTGTGTGGGTTGCTGTTTGAGCTCTGTTTAAATATTCAAGCATCCTAATATTTATTCCAATTATGCCTGCAGTGGGTTTTTCCAAGCACAAGGGAGACCCAGCAACAAAGCATCATTAATGTTTCAAAAATTGCAGGGAAGCAGACTAATCAGTTAAGCCTCTGTGAGAAGGAAATAATGTGCATTTACTCCCTTTCTAAACAAAATATTAACTAAATTACAGAATCTCCCAGGACAGGGTAAAGAGGATTTCATTACAGTTTTCACAGTATATTAAACACATAGTGAACAGGCCATTTATAGATGAATGTGATGTGACACCAACTAACATGATAATAGATTTCAGTGACCCACGTTTATTGGCAGTTGTATAAACACAACAGTATACAAACTGAGGATTAAGAAGTTGGTTTTTTTGCCATAATTTGAATGTGCCAGATGAATTATTTTTGCAGCTCTATAACATCCTAAGAGTATTTTAAGTCCACAGTAATTATGAAAATGAAGGCAAATACAAACAAAAGAAAAATTTGATTTGACATTCATTTAGACATGGTCTGGAATTCACCATATTGATAGGTATACATGACAAATAATTTTAGTAGAGCCTTTTGCTTATACTATGGATTTTGCCTCCTTTTCAAGTGCTGTTATTAAGTCATTACATAAATTAATTTGACTTTGAGATAAATTTTAATATTTTCCGAAGTCCATAGTTTTTAAAAACTGTATACTATAACATGAAAAATTATGACCTTCTCATTAGTCCTTCAACACTGGAAAGACAAATTTATGGCCCTTATTACTCAGTGGATTGTAAATCTAAAATTACTTGTGATGTATGAATGAGTTGCGTATAGCAGTAGGTCACTTATGGACAATTATTGTGACATCGGGTTATCCTTTATACTGTGTAAAATATATATAAACAAATACATTTTGATAAACATATTGTATGTAAATATGCGTATCAGATTTTTGTTGTATTGCTTTTTCCCTATTTTTCTTTGTACTGCTTCATTAAATAAATGAAAGTAATTATTGTATAATATATGGAAAAATTAAATAGCATGTACTTTTCAAAAGCTCTTACCTTGCCCCCATTTTTGAGGGTTACCCTCTAAAAATTATATCTTTGTGTTCTTTGATCTAAATTTATATATGTGTATTTTCCTTTTAAATCCCCTCATTTAGGAAACTTGATGTGGCTTTAAAGATTGTACTGTTGATTTATGTGTACTGTAGTCCTGAATCTAGTCTGTTTCATCAATTAAAGTGTTCCAGATAAATTTGAACGTGCAACAATGTATGTTTGAATGGCATATGACGTATGATATTATGGAATTACCACTACATGCAAACTGATGCTCATTCTGTAGAACAATAAGCCCCTTTTGAGTTTACTCTGAATCATAAGACCTGAGACTAATAGGTTAAAAGCAATCTAACTTCCATGCATTTCCCGCATATGTATGCATTGTGTTGAAACGGATTCATTCAAACTGTCAGCCATTGAAGGCAGACATAGAATTTATTTCTCCACAGCACTATAAGCCATAACAGCATCAGCTCTTTCCAGAAATACCAGCAGCAAAGAACCATTGCCTTCATTATTTGACAACAAAAACATATCCCAATTTTAAAACCGGGACCTGCCTGATTCTTAGTCTAGCCTTAGCTCTGAGACACTTATAGGTAACCCCTGATAACACCACCAGAGTTTAATCAAATTTACCTTTTTTAAAAAAAATGCCTACAGTTTTGCTTTATTTCAATAGAAAGAAAAGATTTCAAAGTGTAAGAAAAAGAGAGACCGTGTTGTACAATCCAATGACTTTCTTTTGGATCTGTGATGTAACATTTGTCATAGGAGATTAATTAATTATTTTTTCTTATTGCACCGTGGATGGGATTATATATTCTTTGCCTTTTCACACTGCATTTCTCTATTGGCTGTCCAGAAAGGAGCAGATGTATGAAGGCTTAAGGCTGAGGGTTATCCATCTTTGCTGTTATAATCTCATGGTTATTTAGATATTACATCTCTACACACCTCAAATCTGGATGCTTTCTTTCGTTCCTTACCTCCTTCCTTCTCTACATGGGCCAAAGATAGAACCCCAATATTCCAAGTGCTGGAAAAAAAGGATTATTTTCTGCACAAAGGAACTTCAAGGAGCCACGTTTGTGTGAAAAATAGCAACTGAATCATTGTATAAGGTGAGCACCTTCCTGGATGCTTTCAGATTAAAACACTTTGATTAGAGTGAAGTTGACTGTTTTTGATGGTTATGTTTCTTTTATTAATCTGTAGTACAGTATCACAGCAACAAGAGTGGTCTATACATAGACGCACACATGCATGCATTTTTGTAAAATAGCCTTGAGCTTGGAAATTAGCATTTCCATTTCCATGTAGGCTGGGAGAAATAATAAATAGCCCCCTGTCAGAGGCTCAGTGAAGCCACCTTATATCTTCCTTACATCTACTGTCAGGCACTGAGCCAAGACAGAGCAAAGTTCAAGGTGTTCTGGATTGAAATGGCCTGGTGCTAAAACAGCAGCTGATTCAGCAGTTTGCAGCTTTCATTTCTTTTTGTTGTCACTTTTCTATTACCCTTTCATAAATCTGTTTGTAATTTCATCTTTTTCTTTTTACTTTACAAGCCATGTGGATCACAGAGAGATTCTTACACTCAAAGCACCCGTCTTAGGCAGATCTGGTTTCATAATATAAGGAATAAAGAGCTTATGAAAGTTTAACTGTAACATGAATCTACACCTCCACCTGTGGTTAAAAAAAAAAGATTTATTTCCATCTAGCAATATCCAGCCACTTCCCACCTGGTGCTTAAGCACATGAAAGAAATAGTTCAGAAAGACAAATAATAGCTATCACGTAAAGTCTCTTTTGTTCCAGATCCAGTCTTAAATGAAGTTGTTCTGAATCACAGGAGAAGTTTGAGGTGGAGGGGTGGGAAGAGTAAGAGAAGGAAAAGGCCATGGGGAATAACGGAGAGGAGGAAGGGAAGGGGTTGGGAAGACTGTTGACAACACAATTACTTTTTGGAAGAATCACTATTCTTACAAATCTTAATTTCAAAACTACATTCTGATAGTAAACTGATGGAAATGCAGAACTTTAGAAATGGTTTTGCCATCAAGTTTATGTCAACTGTTACCAATCACATAGATACATTTTCTCCAGGACAATCTGTACCTGTCCTTTATGTCTTTCACCTCCTCTGTAACGGAATTCTCATGTTTGTTTTCCTTTCGCCTTTCCAAAACATTAAGGACTTCTTAACAGAGTTAGAACTTTGCATAATGTATCTGAAATAGGATAGTTTGGGTCTGGATATTTGTATCTTGAGTGAGAACCCTGGGCTGATTTGTTGATCTACTTTTTTTCTTGATTATCCATACTATTCTTGGGAGTCTGCTCCAAGGTTCAAAAGCATCGATACTTTTTCTGATCCGATTCTTCAAAGTTCAACTTTTCCTTTCTTCATAGAGGCTTAGAGGTAAAACTATTGCATGCACAACTCTTGACGTTTGTAGGTGTAGACCCATCATCATATCAATATCCTTTTCAAGATTTTCAACGCTACCCTTCCAAATGCTAATCAGTCACATACTGTATTTTTGATTATTGGTTTCCTTGCTATTTATCCCTTTAACATCTTCACTGTCAATTCTAAATCTGTACTTATTGTAATTACTTTGGTCTTCTATGGTTTTAAATTTAAACCTATGTTTTCACTATGCTGGTTGATTTTCATTTCTAGAATTTCTGAATAATATGCATGTTCAGCTATCAGAACACAATAATTAGCATAGTACAGATTATTGATGTGTCTTCCTCCAATTTTGAAACCATACCCATTTTCTTACAATCCAGCTTCCCTCATATCTTCAGAATATAAATTGAATAACTAAGGCCTTGTCTCAATATCCCCTATCTAGATACTCATAGACCTATGCAGCCTCTTTCAAGAACCCTGTTTAAAAAAACAAACCCTAAACTAAGTCAAGGTTCACACTAAATCATTTCTTTGTAGCCAATCTCATGGGACTTTGCTAAGTACAGCAAAAAGATAAAAATGCTACAATTCTCCAGAAAGGATGGTCATACTTAGATTTATCCATGTCAGAAGGTGTGAACCAACCATAGAATGAAAAGAATGATTCCTCTTTTCTATTTGCTACATAAGTGATATAATATCTAAGCTGAACATGCTTCTCCTAGACTCATACAGCTTTGCTATCTTACCATACAAGCGCTGGATAACAATACGAACTGGGAGCCGAAAGTGTGACATAAGAATTGTTAAGTAGTAACTTATCACATAGAAAATAAATGGTACACGAGGGGGTTCTTTATTCCTTTATACACATCTTAGAATAAAAATATGCGAGATGATTGTGTTACAAAATTCCATGGAGTTGACAAATGTGTCAACTATAGATCACACCAGGAACAAATTTTAAAATTTTTTGGAGGAGGTTGGTGGGTTTACATACATCGACCTTTATGAGAAAAAGAACTATTGGCTGGGATTAAGAAGGATGGTACTCTAGCCCCGTGTGAACAGAGAGGTGGTTTCTTTTTTTTGCGGGGGGGGGGTCAATTCTCCATTTAAATGCATCTTTAACATAGAAACGTTTATGCTTTTGAGGAGGCTGTATTAGAAAGAGCAGGTGGAAAAGTCTCTACTGCTCTGGTAGGATCTTGCAGGGCTTTTTGAAGCAACAACCTCAATCAGGGTGCCTCCCATTTTATTCCTTGTGAGAGCAACCCCCCACCCTAACTTCTGAACAAAGATTATACAATATTTTACATTACGTCACATATTAAAAATGACATTGCTGCTATCAAGGAGTTGAAAAAAAATGAGAGTTTCCTTTTGACTTTTGGCAATTGGATGAAGGGGAAGGTAAAGACCTCATGCTTATCCAAAATATTATCCTAAATAGAAACACACTTGAGCTACATACTGTAAGAGTGGAAAGGGACACTGAACGTATTTACTGAAAAAGGGAGCACAAAATGTTTTAATTCAAACTGTTGCCAATCTGACATGCCACATTTTGAGATCAAAACAGTTGTTTTACAGTTGAAGTGGTCTGTTTCAACCATTATTGTAGTGTTTTAATTTCAAAATAGTGTTCTGAACTCAAAATAGAACAGTCCATTTCTGAAAAAGCTTGCCAAGAAAACTCCAGGGACTTGTCAAGGCAACCACAAGGAATAAACCTTACTCAAAGGCATGCGTGCACCCACACACGCACACACACACACACAGTACTGATAGATATAATGACTGAATGATTACAGGTATTATCACGTGTTGCCTCTTGCATCCTTGCTTACCTCCAGGTCATACAGATATCTGAAGTTGTTCTGTTGGTTAGCAGCTTTCCTTACAGCTTCAGCCAACTCCATAGTTCCTCTGCCCCCCTCTGACCAGTGCCGGCAAGGGACCGCATCAAAAGCTCCAGACTGTTTGGCTATCTCACAGACTAAATTAATCTCAGCAGGCGAGTCCGTTCTGCCAACAAAAGAATTTTGGATTATTTCATTTGTAATGGTATTCATTAATCATAGGCAGGGTTGGTTTAAGGAATGTGGGGGGTTCAATGCAACCTCAGGTTTGGAGCCTCCCACCCAGACTTAGAGTACTATCACAGATATGGACTCCTGCAGAATAGTGGAGGAGGAGGAGGAAGGACAGTGTGCTTTAGAGGAGATGGAGGTTTCTGCTGCTGTCAGCACCATTCACCATGCAGGAAAACTCTGCTTAGCCCTCTGGGTGGGCCTGTCTACTCAAAACCCAGCTACATAGACAAGCAGCTGTGCCTTCTTCATTTTTATGCATGTAACTCATATACCTATAGCTTGCTTTTGCCTGCTATTCCACTTGAGAGGAACCATTTTCTGGACTAGCTCCATATGCTATGGCCCCTTTAAACGGGCACATACAAGTACTCCTTGACTTATGTCCACAATTGAGCCCAGAATTTATGTTGCTAAGTAAGGAAACTGTTAAGTGAGTTTTACCCCATTTTACAACTTTCTTGCCACATTTGTTAAGTGAATCCCTGGAGCTGTTAAATTAGTCACACGGTTGTTAAGGGGAATCTGGCTTCCCCATTGACTTTGCTTGCCAGAAGTTTGCAAAAGATGATCTCATGACCCCAGGACATTGCGACCGTCATAAATATGAACCAGTTGTTAAGCATCCGAATATAAATCACATGACCATGGTGGGATTCAATTTTTTTTTACTACTGGTTCTGTGGGCGTGGCTTGGTGGGCGTGGCAGGGGAAGGAAACTGTAAAATCTCCAGTCTAAGGTGGTATTTGCTGGTTCTCTGAACTACTCAAAATTTCCATTACCGATTCTCCAGAACTGGTCAGAACCTGCTGAATCCCACCTCTGACCATTGGGGATGCTGCAATGATCATAAGTGTGAAAAATAGTCATAAATAAGTCACTTTTATCAGTGCTATTGCAACTTTGAATAGTCGGTAAATGTACTGTTGTAAATGGAGGACTAACTGTACACTTAAAGGTTCTCCAGGATGACAATTGTAGATGTTATGTCCCACCTTCCAAAATAAACAGATAAGGCTGAAAGCAGC